TTCGTCTTATCCGCAAAAATGTGTTTGCTTGTTTCAGCAATGAGTTGTCAAGTAGACGTAATACTAAATGGGACATAATCTTTAAACATTGTTTTCCTGGGTTTATCTATGTCACTAAATAATTTATTGCAACAATATCGCCTATATTTGCCTTGTATCTGTATGTTTCTATTTTATAATCTAAATTTTGCAATGGTTTACAATAATCACGTTTAACTCTGCATGTGTCTTATTTAAATGGTTAATATTTTATTTCATTTAAATTGTAATAATATAAGAAAAAAGTGTTACCATGAGATATACATGTACCATTTTAGGATGAAACTGATAATATTCACTAATTATATATATATATATATATATATATATATATATATATATATATATATATATATATATATATATATATATATGTAGGTATTATCAGTAATGATTATCAAAAGATCATCGGGTATATATATATATATATATATATATATATATAAATATAAATATATATATATATATATATATATATATATATATATATATATATATATATATATATATGTACATATATTAGGAGCCCAGTTACATTTATTTTTAAGCCCCTTCTCCATGCACATAATTTTTGTCGTTTATTGGAAACAAATGGCAACACACAAAGGTATGCATATGCAGAAGGCATAGGTTGTAAAAAACCAAACCATAGATACTACATTAAAATATGCACCACACATGCGCCATCCATTAAACCCACATTTGATGTATTCTATACTATATGATTGAGCTGCATTCGATACAAGTGTCAGATTAACATGACCCCCCTCTACCTTTAGCCAGAACCATTTCTCCTTTATCTTCTAATGAGATGCATACATAGCATATGTTCATGTAATAAACATACACATGCTGCAGTTGTATACAGCGATCAAAGGCTTATCCCACCGTGTCTATGTTAATGTATGTCAGCAATGTGTTATGAGGTTGTTACCCTCTACCACAGCAACCACACATATCCAGCCCTCGTTAAAGTTGGTTCATGCATTCATATAACTGATACAGATGTCATAATCAGAGATTATATTATTTAAGCTATGGATTTTAGGATATGTTGCTTTAAAGGGTCATATTTTGTTTTGTTTTTTTGTTGTAAATGTAAATGATATTGGTGATACAGATTGATATATGTGGTACTAGACATACAGTCACATGTGTATTGCGTAAGGACCGATATTTAATGTTGTTACACACAATACTACGTCAGCACACTACACTAGACGGTCTTACAAGCAGACAAGGTCGAAAGGTAGTCACACAACGCATGTACACACCACACCTACGTCACACACACACCAACATCAAACCACTACGCACAAGCAACACGCATTAATTACACGTCACAAACACGTTTTCCAGTTATTAAAGACATTTTTTGTGTAATCAGAAGACGAAATGTAAAACATAATAACGTCTCGGCTTTGTAAAAAAATAATGATCGAGCCACTTTATGAAACACGATGAAACCAGTTGTTCATTAAAAGATCCTATGTAGGCTACGTGGGGCGCGAATGAGGAAAAATTTCGTCGCTTCAATTCTAAACCTACAGAATATGCTATTGGGTGCCCTATCAGTGAGTGATATAGTGGCAGTAAACTTAAGGACCTGTTGAAATAACAACACTCAAATGACTTGAGAGAAATAACGTATGACTGAGTGTTTTACTTAGATCGATTATGTAACTGTTTAGCGTTATAAGTGTATCGAATGATAAAATGTGCATTGAATTACAAAAGTATAGATTAAATAATGATAATTAATTAAAAAAATTTAATTGATTTTTTTCGCACATGTCTAATGTGTTTAGCACACTGCAGCTTAGCAGCTGTATCAAAGTTGGGTAGAGAGGTGTGGGGTCTGGTGTGGGGGCTGGTGTGGGTGCAGGTGTGGGGGCTGATGTGGGGGCTGGTGTGGGGGCCTTTGCGGGGGCTGGTGTGGGGGCTGGTGTAGGGGGTTTTGTGGGGGCTGGTGGGGGGCTGGTGTAGGGGGTTTTGTGGGGGCTGGTGGGGGGCTGGGTAGACTGGTGTAGGGGCTGGTATAAAGGCTGGTGTAGGGCTGGTGTGTGGCTGGTGTGGGGCTGGTGTGGGGGCTGGGTAGACTGGTGTGGGAGCTGGTGTGGGGCTGGTGTGTGGGCTGTGTAGGCTGGTGTGGGAGCTGGGTAGACTGGTGTGGGGGCTGGTGTGGGGCTGGTGTGTGGGCTGGGTAGACTGGTGTGTGGGCTGGGTAGACTGGTGTGGGGGCTGGGTAGACTGGTGTGGGGGCTGGATAGACTGGTGTGGGGGCTGGGTAGACTGGTGTGGGGGCTGGGTAGACTGGTGTGGGGGCTGGGTAGACTGGTGTGGGGGCTGGGAAGACTGGTGTGGGGGCTGGGTAGACTGGTGTGAGGGCTGGTGTGGGGGCTGGGTAGACTGGTGTAGGGGCTGGTGTGGGGCTGGTGTGGGGGCTGGTGTGTGGCTGGTGTGGGGGCTGGTGTGGGGGCTGGTGTGTGGCTGGTGTGGGTGCTGGTGTAGGGGGTTTTGTGGGGGCTGGTGGGGGGCTGGGTAGACAGGTGTAGGGGCTGGGTAGACTGGTGTGGGGGCTGGTGTGAGGGCTGGGTAGACTGGTGTGGGGAATGGTGTGGGGGCTGGGTAGACTGGTGTGGGGGCTGGTGTGGGGCTGGTGTGGGGGCTGGGTAGACAGGTGTGGGGGCTGGTGTGGGGCTGGTGTGGGGGCTGGGTAGACTGGTGTGGGGGCTGGGTAGACTGGTGTGGGGGCTGGTGTGAGGGCTGGGTAGACTGGTGTGGGGAATGGTGTGGGGGCTGGGTAGACTGGTGTGGTGGCTGGGTAGACTGGTGTGGGGGCTGGGTAGACTGGTGTGGGGGCTGGTGTGGGGCTGGTGTGGGGGCTGGGTAGACAGGTGTGGGGGCTGGTGTGGGGCTGGTGTGGGGGCTGGGTAGACTGGTGTGGGGGCTGGGTAGACTGGTGTGGTGGCTGGGTAGACTGGTGTGGGGGCTGGGTAGACTGGTGTGGGGGCTGGTGTGGGGCTGGTGTGGGGGCTGGGTAGACTGTTGTGGGGGCCGGGTAGACTGGTATGGGGGGGGCTGGGTAGACTGGTGTGGGGGCCGGGTAGACTGGTGTGGGGGCTGGGTAGACTGGTGTGGGGGCTGGGTAGACTGGTGTGGGGACTGGGTAGACTGGTGTGGGGGCTGGTGTGAGGGCTGGCTAGACTGGTGAGGGGCTGGGTAGACTGGTGTGGGGGCTGGGTAGACTGGTGTGGGGGCCGGGTAGACTGGTGTGGGGGCTGGGTAGACTGGTGTGGGGGCTGGGTAGACTGGTGTGGGGGCTGGGTAGACTGGTGTGGGGGCTGGGTAGACTGGTGTGGGGGCTGGGTAGACTGGTGTGGGGGCTGGGTAGACTGGTGTGGGGGCTGGGTAGACTGGTGTAGGGGCTGGGTAGACTGGTGTGGGGGCTGGTGTGAGGGCTGGCTAGACTGGTGAGGGGCTGGGTAGACTGGTGTGGGGGCTGGGGGCTGGGTAGACTGGTGTGGGGGCTGGGGGCTGGGTAGACTGGTGTGGGGGCTGGGTAGACTGGTGTGTGGGCTGGGTAGACTGATGTGGGGGCTGGGTAGACTGGTGTGGAGGCTGGGTAGACTGGTGTGGGGGCTGGGTAGACTGGTGTGGGGGCTGGTGTGGGGCTGGTGTGGGGGCTGGGTAGACTGGTTACAATTCCACATTTAGTCACAACAGAGAGGATCAACGCCTCATCTTTGCCGTCGTGAAACTGGGGCAAGGTATTTCAGACAAGAAACCTTTTGATGTGCTGATCTTTTTTACATCGGGAACACAAGCACTGGTGCTAGGTCGAACAGCCCCAGACTTTACGTTGCTTGCTCCATTAATGGTGCCGCACGAACTAGGGAATGGTTCTAACATAGGATATTTTGTGTCTTGGTGATCAAAGGTTAAGTAAGGTAGACTACATCTTCATATGGCGAGCTACCAAGTGTTAGGGTGTCGTCATAGGTGAACATGTTCTTACCTGGGCAGGATTTAATTCAGGAAATACGTCATGCAATAATATATCTAGTTTACATTTCACATTAGTGCGACGTCGTGGTCGGGAGGCGGAGCATACGACTGCTAACCTGAATGACTCGAGTTTGAATCCCTGGTTTCAGGCGTTAGGACATATCACAGTCCCCCCCCCCTTTTTTTATTAAGGAACTTAAGCTGGACGTTGTGCTCAGAACACTATCTCTTTGTGTGATTGGGTCACAAAAACAGGTGAACTCTACTTTATCTGCCTCGTGTGTGACTTTATCAATCGTGTAAACCATGTCCTGTAAACTTATACTAGTTGCAGACATTTCTCTCAACGGAATAAATGTAATGGAATCGAATGAATGTTAATATATATATATATATATATATATATATATATATATATATATATATATATATATATATATATGTGTATATATATATATATATATATATATATATATATATATATATATATATATATATATATATATATATATATATATATATATATATATATATATATATATATATATATATATACATATATGTAGTGAAATAGAGGCTAGACAAATATTTGAATACTTGGTCTAGACACGACTTCGCGGAATTGCTGTCAAATGGTCTACAGCGAGGAATGTTCAGACTATGAGGACGTGGCCGAAATGTTTCAAGTTCGTTGAATTCTATTTTTTTCAAGGTGACTTGTGTGTGGCGATATGTCCTGGGCTAAAAAAAAAACCTGGTCATGGTCTGATGACGTTAATACACCGTCTGATCGTGTGCCGTCTGATCTATGCGGCTGTTCATTTCAATGTTTATATGGACGGGGGTGAGGGGGGGTATGCATGAGGGGGGAGGGTGTGATTACCCATCTGCTTTTCAAAAGGTTTTTTTTAATGTCAGGCTAAAGCGGTGACGTCTGTTTGGAGCCATAATGTCATCTATTTATACAAAGTGCGGATAGTTAAAGGCCTAGCTGATCGCAGCCAGATTAAAGCGGGGGCTATTTAAGCCTGGGGTGACCGGATTACCAGCAGTCCCCGCCTGACTGGATCCACCACACGCTGTAGTCTGCTGAAGCCTGGTAAGGTTAATCTTAATTTGTTTGTGGTCAAGTTAATTGGTAATATTAATCTCAATTGTTTCTGGTCAAATTAATTGGTAACGTAAATCTTAAATTGTTTCTGATGTAATCTGTTGTTGAAAAAAATATGATGGATGCATTAAAAATATAAAAATTAAATTTTATTTAATAACGGAAAATAAAAATAAAGGCATATTCGAATGTAGAAACACATCTCTAATTATACAACCGGTTGTGACTAGGACGCTCTTGAGAACATATAAATAGATAAAAAACTATGACTGGCAAAAATAATGACGTCACATGTAACAAATAGAAAAATTTCTTTACGAAACAAAGCTGTTTAAACTACAGAAACTACACTCCGTTAATGGCGACATTGATTGTAGTATAAAAATAGAATTAAAAATGGAATGTCGAAACTGATACACAATACTAATGACGTCATCTTTAATAACATTCGTTTCCCACATCTTCCAATTTTAGAATATGAAAAAACGAAGATTTTGATTCTAATTTGATTTAAATCTATAGATCTAGATCTACTTATCAAGACGTGCGCTATGATATTTTATACACATTTTCTCGTCCAAAAATTATAATTAGTTAACAAAACAAGAAAACTACCATTTAATAGCCGAGTTTTCAACAAAACCATTTAAGTCTCTTGATCAGCGTGTGTATTTAATGTGGTGTTGTGTTGACAAATTAATTATATACTTTGGTTTTAATTTTTACTTTCTCGTATATACGTAGTATAGAGAAAGTATTGTAATCGTGCACCTCACTGATACGGAAAAACATAATTTTGCAATCTTGTCCGTATGTCTGTGTGTGTGTGTGTGTCTGTGTGTGTGTGTGTAAACACGATAACTTGAGTACCGTTACAGCTAGGTTGATGAAATTTCATATATAAGTATTTTATCAAAATCGTAGATCCGTATCAACTTTTGAGCGATTTCCGATAACCGGAAGTGGTACTTTTTCTACTTTGAATTTTTTAAACGCCTCTAACTTGAGTACTATTTCAGATAGATAAAAGAAATTTCACATGTAAGTAAAAGATCTAATTCACTACCTTCCGTCAAATTTTGAGTAATTTCCGTTGACCGGAAGTACTAATTTACGCTATTTTCGATTTCTCAAAAAACGCATGTAAATTTATAAAGTACTAATAATATTGCGCACTATTATGCACATTTTGTTTTGGCGTTCGCTTGGTGCGCAATTCTTTTTTCTATGAGATTCTATTCTATTTTAAAAGTTTAAGTAATTAAAAATCATGTCTATGTTCCAAGTTATATAAGAAAATTCGAGAAAGTTTAGGGGAGATCACTCCCGGTTTATTTAAACAGGTATTGGAAGCCTTTGTCGGATTTTTTAGCTATTTATTTATTTGCGTTGTCACAAATATCAAACAACGTGTGGTAAAGCACATTGCGTTTTGGCCAATAACTACTTTATTAAATATATTTCTTAAACAAGTATAACATTTAAAAAAAATAGGCCTATAATTCACGTGTACCGATGGCTAGTTTAAAGTAATTAGCCAATTCGATTAATTTAGTACGGACTATGATAGCGGTGTATCTTCTATTGAACAATGTGTTAAAATGTAGTCACAGAGACACAATTTTTAAAAATAACTCAACTGTTGTTTACACTTTTTATACTGCAGAAAACCAGAGAAATAACATTTTCTAAGGACATAACAGTCTTATATGGCGTATGGGATTCTAAAGTGTTTCCTTCTTAGTCCGGGAGAGTTTAGTGTTGATCCAAGTTGTATAAAAATGTTGGAATAATTAAACATGTTAAGATGTTGACTGTATAAAGGCTTTATACCAACCACCTGAACATTTTATTGCATTAAAAATTTGACCATTAGAAAACTGACCAAACCATATTGAAGGCTGAACTGGGCCTGTTGTTTTATTGACATGTCTGTGACTAGAGTAAAACTATAATATCTGTCAATGGGCTGTATTGTATACATTAGTACTGCTAGAAAGATGATGCCCCCATCAATGTACACATGATATTTATCTTTCTCCGATCTCAGGTCTACAAAATGTCTGCTATAAAGATGATGCCACTTCTCTTTCTGCTGACTGTTGGAGGTAATTAATGATTATATTACGTAATTAATTATTACATTACTTAAAATCTTCCCCCATAAATACATTCAGTGTTTCTTCCAGACTTTTTTCTCCGGGGGGGGGGCACTTGAAATTTTCGGGGGGGGGGGGGGGGCGGTAGACTTTCTTCGGGGGGGGGGGCGGACACTGTTAAAAGTATATATTTTCTATATAAATTATATAAATTTCATTTCGTTCGGGGGGGGGGGGGCGGTAAAAATTTTTCGGGGGGACTAAGCCCCCCGAAGAGATGCCTGGAAGAAACTCTGAAAACATTAGTATTGTATTCTCGTTACCGAGTTATGAAACACATTAATGTATATAAAGCCTAATATTGAATTCCCAGCCATCATTTATTTTTATGAACTTACATCAGGTAGATCCATCCAATCCTTTCCTGTTAGATTTTTCTCTTTAAATTAGCCACTAATCTATGATTAGGTCCAATCAGTTTAGATGATGTTTAATATTTACACTTTCTGTGCCCGGTCTTCAGGCTTCCAGTGTACTCAAGGCATGCCAAGACTGAAACGAGATTTGCAAAACTTGTGTCTGGTGTTCCAGACTTACGTCCCACGTAGCTGTATGGACTTCTCCAGCTATGGCTGTAGCTGTGGGCCTAACAAAGCCAGGGCACCCATAGATGGCATTGACAGGTGAGTTAGGTCAAGGATGACCATACTACAGGTGAGTTAGGTCAAGGACGACAATACTACAGGTGTGCTAGTTCAAGGACGACCATACTAGTTAGGTCAAGGACGACCATACGACAGGGGAGTTAGGTAAAGGACGACCATACTACAGGTGAGTTAGGTAAAGGACGACCATACTACAGGTGAGTTAGGTCAAGGACGACCATACTACAGGTGAGTTAGGTCAAGGACGACCATACTACAGGTGAGTTAGGTCAAGGACGACCATACTACAGGTGAGTTAGGTCAAGGACGACCATACTACAGGTGAGTTAGGTCAAGGACGACCATACTACAGGTGAGTTAGGTCAAGGACGACCATACTACAGGTGAGTTAGGTCAAGGACGACCAGATTACATGGGAGTTAGGTCAAGGACGACCAATAATGGTATCCACAGCTGACTTAGGTCAAGGTTGGTTCATCATGTGGCTACTTTGTGAATCTCTTCAGTAAGACTGGTTGAATACATCGATTAAAGGTATGAAGGTGGAGCCTTTATTTTTTTGTGTCTGTGACAAACACAAAGCCAAAAAGTTGTCCTTCTATTACATGTAAAGCTATTTAGTTATAAATTTACGTTCGATTTTCACTCTTCAAAATAATTTATAATGTTTTATTTTCCTGTTGTAGTTGCTGTGCCGCCAAGGATCGTTGCTACGCAAAACTAAGTTGTGATTACAACATACCGACAGAGGTCAAGTGCGAAAACGGAGCTTGTCAGTGCACAGGTAATATAAGCTTAAACATTAAACAGTTTTTCCGTGCAAAAAAATACGAAAAGTAAAGGATCTTAGTATCTAGTAATTTATATCGACATATTGTATTTAAATAAAGTTTAGTACGAGAACGCGTTTCCCATATGAAAACAATTAGACTTAAGTAACGCAGGTACTGCAGTTGGGATAGCAGATGCCAAGAGGCTGAGTAGAACGATTCTTCTGCCCATTCCACTAACTACAATCTGTCTTCATGAACCCTGCTTCAAAATTCTTAAACCAGCAGCCAATTTAGAAGAAGGCCTCATAATCTAACTTTAGAGTAATTGTTTATAGAAGGTCTCACACATCTAACTTTAGAGTAATTGTTTATAGAAGGTCTCACACATCTAACATTAGAGTAATTGATTATAGAAGGTCTCACACATCTAACTTTAGAGTAATTGTTTATAGAAGGTCTCGCTCATCTAACTTTAGAGTAATTGTTTATAGAAGGTCTCACTCATCTAACTTTAGAGTAATTGTTTATAGAAGGTCTCGCTCATCTAACTTTAGAGTAATTGTTTATAGAAGGTCTCGCTCATCTAACTTTAGAGTAATTGTTTATAGAAGGTCTCACTCATCTAACTTTAGAGTAATTGTTTATAGAAGGTCTCGCTCATCTAACTTTAGAGTAATTGTTTATAGAAGGTCTCACACATCTAACTTTAGAGTAATTGTTTATAGAAGGTCTCACACATCTAACTTTAGAGTAATTGTTTATATTTGAAATGTTCAACCACTAGGACACCCACTAGTCTGTGCTGTATATTTTACATTTGTTTTCAGCGGCGGATAAATCTTCCTGCGCGTACAAGGCTTGCAAGTGTGACGTCAAAGCCGCTGAGTGCTTCACCCGCTACACTTTCAACGAGTCTCTCATCAACTACGACTACACCAAGTGTGCTAACGTCTCAGACCTGACCGTGGGGGACAGTGGGGAGAGACTGGACCGCAGCGGGGGTAAAGGTGCCGGGAGCTGGCCGGAGAGCTGGGGTGGGCGGAAAGATGATGGACACGATGAGAAGAAAAATGAAAAGAACAATGGAAAGAAGAAAGATGATAGAGATGACGATAAAAATGGAAAGAAGAAAGGCGATAGAGATGACGATAAAAATGGGAAGAAAATAAAAAAGGGAACTGGTCGCAAATAAAAGAGGTTTTGTAAAAAAAAAAAAACTTGCTTATCGGTATATTAGATGTTTTTTCATAATAATATCTGTTGACTTTGAAATCTTAAAAGTGAGATTGTATTAAATAAAAAGTGTTATATCTTCTTGTCTAAGATTTGTGTAGTATGGATGTGGGAGATGTTGTAATGTATGTGGTCGTTAATCGAAGCATAGCTAGGCTATTAACACACACAGGACAGGACAGCTCAGGACAACAATTTTATTTGGACATTTCTTTTCTATCCTGATTTATCATTGTTTACGTCTTACTGTAATTAATTAGAGATTATTAGGCCCCCTCAATTAAGGGGACTACAGTGTCACTTTTTATTTAATTTCACAGAGTCCGGTATTCTACTGGGTGGGTGTGTAGGTTGGTTTATGGTCAAATAAAAAAAACAGCACTTTTTTATAAGTTAATTGGCTAGTGACGACCACGCAGTCAAATTTTTCATCTCATTAGTTAAGAAAAATTAATTAAAAGAGCACTATATCTAATGCCTATGGGGGGGGGGGGGAGGGGGGGGGGGAAGAGCATACAGGATACAATACTCGCGAGTCACAGTTTAACTAACACTTTGCTGGAGAAAGTCTGTTTTTTTTTTACAGAGCATTGAAAATACTTAAGTTTTTTATGTTCTCTTTTAAAGTTAGTTTACGTGGATAACCTCTGCTGACACTAGATTCGATGGACACCTACATCCACTGTGAATATGTGTAGTAAATTGATTTTTTAAAATCACGTTTTTGCTTGCAGTAATTTGCAAAATTACAAGGGAGATAACTTATGAAATCTATTACAAACTTAGCTTTAATAATGGTTATATACCCTTTTAAAAAGGAAAATTGCGATAATGTTTAAGTACATTTGTAATGTAGAAAAACATATTATGTACTAATACTATTCTCAAGAAAAACAGAAAAATACGTTGTTAACTTTTTAAATAAATCCAATAGTTTTCAAAACTTTATTTTGTCGCATTATCTCCCATATATCGAAGCCACGTTTAACATTTATACTTCCATTTGCATATACTATTTTATCGCTATATGTAATCACAGCATAAATAAATCAGGAGAAAAAATCTGTATTGGTACGTTTTTGTGTGTTGTGGTAATCTTTGTTTCTTTATCAACAAATGGCGCTGTGTGGCTAAGTCCCCTTCTGCCCTACTCTAACTTAACCCCAGCGGCAAGAGACATCAGTCTTGGTTTCAACTCTTTACAACTGTTCATTTGTAAAACAATTTCAACACCTACAAGTTCTTATATACAAAAAACTGCCCGTATTTCCCCACAAGAAAACTACTGATAAAAAAATTATCCTATTTCGACAGTCAACAAATACTTGAATAACTACTGTCTAAATTTCAACATTTAAAAACAACTCTTAAAATAAGCGCCAGTTTTTCAACACTTGTCAACCACCTGAAATAACTGCCTTACACATCACTAAAGTAGACGTTACTGGTTTTCCACTTCACAGAACTTGGGATTCCAAATTAAGAACATAGTGTTTCAGTATATCGGTAAACAAGGCTTGAAGAACTTTAAATGTTAACTTTAATATTTTAGCTGCCCGTATTTCAACGGTTGTCAACAACTTGTAAACAACCCCTGGGAACTCACATGCGCACCACCTCTCACCTGCGTCTCACATGCGTACAAACTGTCACCTGCGTACAACCACTCACCTGCGTACAACCTGTCACATGCGTACAACCTCTCACCTGCGTACAACCTCTCACATGCATACAACCTCTCACCTGCGTACAACCTCTCACCTGCGTACAACCTCTCGCCTGCGTACAACCTCTCACCTGCGTACAACCTCTCACCTGCGTACAACCTCTCACCTGCGTACAACCTCTCACCTGCGTACAACCTCTCACCTGCGTACAACCTCTCACCTGTGTACAACCTGTCACCTGCGTACAACCTGTCACCTGCGTACAACCTTTCACCTGCGTACAACCTGTCACCTGCGCACAACCTTTCACCTGCGTACAACCTCTCACCTGCGTACAACCTCTCACCTGCGTACAACCTCTCACCTGCGTACAATCTGTCACCTGCGTACAACCTCTCACCTGCGTACAAACCTCTCACCTGCGTACGAACCTTTCACCTGCGTACAACCTCTCACCTGCGTACAACCTCTCACCTGTGGCAACCTCTCACCTGTGTACAACCTGTCACCTGCGTACAACCTGTCACCTGCGTACAACCTTTCACCTGAGTACAGCTTCTCACCTGCGTACAAACCTTTTACCTGTGTACAAAATGGCACCTGCGTACAAACCTTTCACCTGCGTACAAAATGGCACCTGCGTACAAACCTTTCACCTGCGTACAACCTTTCACCTGAGTACAGCTTCTCACCTGCGTACAAACCTTTCACCTGCGTACAAAAAGTCACCTGCGTACAACCTCTCACCTGCAGTTGTTGAAGTCAGACCCACGTGCGACACCTGTTGCTCCTGCGTGTAGTCAGCTACAGACGCCGTATCGATTACCGCTTACAGGCGAGGTATCGATTACCTCCACACGAACCGCCACGCACGCGCCACAAACAACCAACATACGGGCGATACTTGAAAAAAATCACAACGATTACTTACATTTGTGTTTGTACATTAACTTTTAATTCTACGGCGTTTAGTATTATTTTTAAACGTTATGGTTTAACTTTGATTGGTAATTAAATAACCTTCTGCTAAACGCAAGGTCTCGAGTTCCGATCTCAGTTCAGCATTGTGAATGTAAGACGTCCCTTAGTCCACCAACTGGTGTTAGGGAAAGTACAGGCGGCTGGACATAGTGCTGACTATACCATCGTTTTTAAATGCTGTGGTTAAGAAACGAATGAACTCTACTTCATCTGCCAAATGGATCGCTAGGTCTAAAGAGGAACTTATATGTAAAGATAACTAATAGACTGTTTCAAGTATGTTATTTCGCCTTGAATAAATAGTGTAAATCTGTCGACATAATGTTAAAATCTATTAATAAAAATTGTAGTTTAGTGTCAACTTTACTGTAAGATATGCTACATGAGATCGATATTCATCAAACAAACGTTTTACAGCTTTTAATATTACATGTAACTCATACTTATATATATATATATATATATATATATATATATATATATATATATATATATATATATATATATATATATATATATATATACACACACACACACACATATATATATATATATATATATATATATATATATATATATATATATATGTGTGTGTGTGTGTGTATACCACGACTGAAGCTACTATGTTGTAGTGCGCACATGAAACAATATCTCTGCACTTTTTACATTACCACATGATATAACAAAAACACTTTTCTTCAACGATAATATCAGGCAGAAAACGTGGTTCAAACCGTTACAAAATAGTTTTGCTATTTATTTTGACATTCCGAATTCCTGAAGTTTTGTTATTCGTGATTCGGTGTGTGTAAGGAAAAAATACCATCTTAAGACCCATACTGCCACAAGGATATGCTAGAAAATAAAGTCTATTTACATAATCGAATACCTTTAAGCATCACTCGATACCGTCCAGACTACAATAACAGCTGTAGCTCTCCTTCAGCCTCTCGGTGGCCACTCGTCTTCGCCCGCCAGTTGATTGGCGAGGTTTCCTACTTTCGATCTCGACTACTCACTGCCCCACGTCGTCTGTGCCAGGTTTTTTCCACGACGCGCGTGCAGTTTTGAATTTTGCGTCGCTACTCTCTGAGACAAATGGTAAGCGTGAGCATATTCAAAATTTCGCAGTGTTGAAAAATTCTTGAAGGAGTTTTAGAACACGTTTAATGTGATATGTAAAGATCTTATTGCATTTTTAAAAAGAATTGCATTTTCGATAATTCTAGATTTAAACATGTGTTTCTTATTTATTCTAGTCATCATTTATTTTATTTTTTTTATTTAGACTAATATAAATAGTCCATGTCAACATTTATGGATGTAATTTTAACGTTAAAAGTTATAGAATAAAACAATCTCACTTTTTAAAAAAAAACTTGCAGCTGTTTTTGTTTACTCCTAAATTTTTTTTTTGCTAGTATTTGCAGTTCCTTAATTAAGCATATGTTAAGGTTACCAGAAGTAGATCAACTTGCCTTATAATATATCTAAGATAAAAATATATTGAGTTGTATTTTTTTCTTGTTGAAGATTTAAAAACAATTGACTTAACTGAGGATATACAAAGAAGAAAGACCTGCTGTTTCTGATAAAAAAAATACTTTTAAATCCACGTGTAAGTTTGTAATCTCGTGCTAAAGTCGTGTTAGAAAATAAATCAGGAAAATGGCGGCCCAGAAACCAAGCACCGGGTCCAGGGGAATCTCTCAGAATTTCCTGCGACAGTTCCGAGACAAGAAAACCCGGAAATTCAAGGAAATTAGCGCCTCTAATTTCATGGACGTTTGGAACCATTACGACTCGGATGGTAAGTGGCACGCGTTGTTGGCGTTTCCTGTTTGACAGTTGATGCTGTCATGTTTTCTTTGACTTTTGCTGCTGTTGTTTCCTGTTTAACAATTGCTGCTGTCGTTTCTTCCCTGACGTTTGCTGTTGCCGTTTCCTGTTTGGCAATTGCTGCTGTTGCTTCTTCTATGTTTTTGCTGCTGTTGTTTCCCCTCTGATTTTAATGCTGTTGTTTCCTGTTTAACAATTACTACTGTTATTTTCCCTCTGACATTTTTTGTTATTTAAATGGATGTGTAGGCTACTATCGTAAGCTTCTTCTTGTAACTCTTCCACTAAAAATCCTATTATCGGGGACCAAACATATCTCTTTATTAACATCTGTAAATCCTCTATTTTCATAATAATCTATTGACAAAAATGGCTAAACAACTATGTGCAATATCGTAACTAGCACGATCTTTTCAATATCAACGTTTTTCGGTTCCATCTTTTTTTTCCTTCCATCTTACCCAAATTGCTGGATTCGCACTTTGTACTTTGTGAGTTTGTGTACTGGGAATTCCCGATCGCGTCAAACGAAATTGTGTACTTCGTTGAATTCCCAAATCGTCTAGCTATAGGGGAAAACCAGATAATGCAAACAGTGTTCAAACTCTAATGTCCTGTGGTCCACGAAATAGCACTTTAGATTGGTCTAAGCCGTACGATTATTTGTTTTAAATAGACCTGAGTAATCTAGAATCTCATGATGAGGCAATCATTCGCTAATTAAGCTAAGAAACTTGATTCTAATGAGATGAATTCAGCCGGAGGCTATGGCAATCTTCCATTAAATTCCCGTTAAGGCTTAATTTCAAATAAACATTGATAATGGTTTCGGTTTCATTTTTCTCGGTTTTAATGAGCGTTCGTTTTTATTGCAATAACACAGATCGATGACGAAAAATAAACAGATCTAAAAAAAAATTGCAAAGTTTTTTGTCGATTCGTCTGAAGAATTAAACCTGGACAAAACATTTGAAATTGGTTTGCTTGGTAACCAAATGTAAGCGTTGACCGGGTTACCGTTGATAAGAATATCAGTTGGTTGGTAACATATATGTTGTTATCAATCACTTTGTTACCGCTGACCTCAGTACCTTTGGCCATGGTATCTGTTGCCCTCGTTATCGACTCCCTTGACCCTGACCTTAACAACGTCACCCTTGACCCTGTCCTTAACAACGTCACAGTTGATCCTGTCCTTAACAACGTCACCGTTGACCCATTCTACTACTGACCCCGCTAAAGCTGAAGCAGCGAATCAGAGCATATCAGACACTCACCCCATGGTACACCATCCCACTCGTCAGTGTGCTTACGTCATCCCATGGTACACCCTCCCACCCGTCAGTGTGCTTACGTCATCCTATGGTACAACCCCTTCTGTTAGCTCATGGTGTATTGCCCTAAGCTCCCATGGTACAACCCCTTCTGTTAGCTCATGGTGTATGGCCCTAAGCTCCCGTGGTACAACCCCTTCTGTTAGCTCATGGTGTATTGCCCTAAGCTCCCGTGGTAAACCCCTTCTGTTAGCTCATGGTGTATTGCCCTAAGCTCCCATGGTACAACCCTTTCTGTTAGCTCATGGTGTATTGCCCTAAGCTCCCGTGGTAAACCCCTTCTGTTAGCTCATGGTGTATTGCCCTAAGCTCCCATGGTACAACCCCTTCTGTTAGCTCATGGTGTATGGCCCTAAGCTCCCGTGGTACAACCCCTTCTGTTAGCTCATGGTGTATTGCCCTAAGCTCCCATGGTACAGCCCCTTCTGTTAGCTCATGGTGTATTGCCCTAAGCTCCCATGGTACAACCCCTTCTGTTAGCTCATGATGTATTGCCTTAAGCTCCCATGGTCATATTCATCTGCTACAATCACCTTGACCTACTCTATAAACCAAAAGTTACAAGACCTACTTGGTATCACATCCTATAAACCAGACACTTTACGCTATATATACCACATCCCTCAAAGTTTGAAATGCAGACTGTCAATATTGATACGTACACCATTCCCTCTTGATTTCTTGTACACACAATTTCATGACGTACATTAACAATCCCCGGCTGTTTAGTTAGGTGTAAAAACTGCAAAAATTATTTTCCTCGCTTCAACCGTTTCTTTTAACGTTTTACCCAGCTATAATCTCATGAATATTTAAAAAAGAAACATGTTTCCGTTAGCTGAGAAATGGAATTTGAACTGTAGTTTTATTGATTTTGATATGAGTAGGTTATGTTGGGTTGTTTTCTCTAGGGGTATTTAGGACAACACAGCGTATAGCGCACGATACAATAATACAACTACGATACAACAACCACAATACTTAGCACACGCATCCACGTCCTCCTCCAAAACCACACACCACCAACTACCACACACCCTAGCACACGCTCTGTCACCGTCAACTGACAATCCTCACGTGAACACCTCTCGATATGTAAACACACTCAACCAAGGGCTACAACTATATACAAAAAATACTTAAAAAAAAAAAACTTAAAAAAAAAACCACGTTTTTCGTGTGGACTAAAAAGTAGAAAATAAATTTTTCTTCCGACCCTAGGGGATCTACCAATGACTGCTCGTAGATTTTGTGCTTCCTCGAGCTGTGCAGGTTCTTGTGATGACTGTTCATACATTTGATGACAAAAAACGTGGGTACGTTCACCATCAAATTTCCCGACCCATCTGCCCAACCCACGTTTTTTGTGGAAGCACAAAATCTACGAGCAGATTTTTATTTTCTCCATTTTAGTCCGTTGCTACACATGAAAAACGTGGTTTTTAAAAAGTTTTTATATAGTTTATTTTCTACTTTATCTAATGACTTGATTAAGTATGACTTGACTAAGTGTTTTTAAATACATAAAAATTTAGAGGATTTTTTAGGTCCCCATTAGAGTTGGGTGGACTCAGGGACGGTCTACTGACTTAAACCCGGATTCGAACTCGAGACTAACGGGTTAGCAGTCCAACTCTCTACCGCTAGACCACTCCGTCCCACACCAAGTGAACGCCTAATAAAATGTGTATAAAAATGCGGGATATTATTAGTACATTATAAATTTACATGCGTTTTTTGAGAAATCATGTCCTCAATTTTAGGGTCCTTGGGGCGAAATTTAATTAAGCTAATTTAGGTAACTAATTGCTAGTTTTTATGATTGCATCTGAAATTGTTAGGCGAAAATAGCCTGCATGCCGAATTTCAGATGTCTGGAGCAATCAGAAGTGGGCTAATTTTCATTGTCAATTTTAACAACAAACCCATAAACAAACAAACAAATGAATGCGAAGCTAAGTTAAGAAAAACGTGTTAAAAAAGGATACCTATCGTTCGAGCACACAACATAAAGACAATCAACGGACACTACATGTAATGGACGTAACAGGTTCAGTCCTTCAATATTAATGGTGTCTTTAAAACAAATGTATACAGAGAAAAAAAAGGTATAGAGCTTTGGTATTATAGCATGCCACAAGATGTTCAGTCATTAAAAGTAGTATGTGTTCGCCGTTTTGATGCGCTACATAGTTTCTTCCAGCCCCCCCCCCCCCCCCCCGAACAAAATGGATTTTATATACTAAATATATAGGCCTACTTTTAACAGTTTCTGCCAATCATACCACCATCCGAATTTTAGTCCGCCCCCACCACCATCCCCCCCCCCCCGAAAATTTCAAGTGCCCCCCCCCCCAAAGTCTGTAAGAAACACCGGTGCGCTATTATGTGACAAAAGTGTGCAATTCTTGTCTACAATCACACCTTTAAGCCATAGCGTGCAGATACGGTGTGCAGTTCTGGTGCGCACGAGGAAGCCGTAAACTTGATCCATGATACATCGATCTAGACTTAGCTCTAACCCTGTGCCGCACGCGAGGCTAGTGTATAGGTTGGGTGAGTACTGGATTGTGATGCAATCTGCTCACGTTATGTAGTGTAGTGTAGTGTAGTGTAGTGTAACCAACATTGGGCACGTTGTGTAGTGTAGTGTAACCAATATTGTGCACATTAGTGCGTTACCTAGTTCATGTGAATATAAATCACATAATTCAATTGATGGTAAATCTTAACATTCAGTTAAAATGTTTTTAAGTTCAATAAATAACCCCCGTCTACACCAGTCTACACCACTATTGTGTTATTGTATTTCATCTCACTTAAGACTGTCGTTTAAAACCTTCGCACATCATTTCCTAATCCTAATCACATTAACAGTATTAACAGATGAAAACCTTTACGTTGGGGGGCTAATAAACAAACCAATTACAATTTCGTCAAGTTTATTAAATTAAACATAGAGCTAATCATCAGCCAAGTCTGAACCGAAGCTTGAAAGAACAACGGACTAATAAGCCCCTAATGATAAAAAAAAATTGATAATTTTTTTCACATTTGCTTTCGCCCAGGGAACTTATCTAAGGAACCGTGTAAAAATCCACAAGTAAATAAATAAGAGAAGGAAACCCGACCAATCAAGAGAGGCTCAGGGAAGGAGCAGCGACGGTGTTTGTTGTGGGGGGTGGGGGGGGGGAGGGGTAGGAGGAGATGAAGATAACCACAATCAGGAAAAAAAATCAATATTTTCCCCCACAGTTTCAGAGATCCAGAAAACTTCATTCAATACTTACTCACAAGCAGACGGTGAAGAAAGATTTAAAAAAAAACGAGCGTTATTTTCCCAGTAAATATAAAGCCCGCCATTTCTTATTGAAAGATTATGACCCCGATGCACCATAAAGTTCTAGAACATTTCACTTATAAGCAAGTCCAGTGAGAGCATGTTTTAAATTCAAATCATGACAGAGGCTGGGTGCTTGCTGTAAATCTGCGACGTTCCCGGGGGGGGGGGGGAAATGGGGGCTTTGTGAAAGACGGAAGGTAGTGGATGTAAATATGCGACGTTCCCGGGGAGGGGGGGGTGGAAGACAAACGGTTGAGTACAGGATATAAATCTGTGACAAGTTCCCGGGGGTTG